TATTTATTCTTTATCTTCACCCAAATAGAGAGCAACGGGGCTTGATAAATGTATTTACATAGAGATTGCACGAACTCAACGGAATGTCTCTCGCGTGGCACCGTTCCTCCTCTTTCCAACGATCGTCCTTCGAGGTAAATGGAAATTTACCGGGAGAACGGCGGGTACAGAGCGATTAAAACGCGCGTGTCAGGTGATGCGGGGGGTATCCCAAGTCGAAAACCTGTGAAACGAAGGGATGGACGAGTGTATTTCCAGGGAAGAAAATGGAGAACGTGGGGTAGTTTCAGTCGTGGAAAACCATCCCTCTCGACGAGGCGATGCGGTTACGTCGGTTTCCTCCTTGCGCCCACCTCTCTTTTCGCTCTCCCTCCCTCTCTCCCCCTCAACCGTACTTGCGTATCCCGAACAGGTTACAAACGAGGGCCACGGTATTACAAGCCGCAAATTACACCCCCGCCACCATCCTTTCCTGCCACGTGAATGTGCGAGCCCAAAACTGCTGGATTACGCCAGTGCGAAACCTTCCACCGAACAAAATACCGCTCTGCCCTTCTCGAAAACGAAACGATCCACGGGTTTCCACGAATGAATCAGGGGATATTAAGAGTATTAACTGTCGTTTTAGACGGGTCAAAGCGCGAAAATGTTCTTTCATCGCGAGTATACAACGATTCCAATCGGTGATCGTATATCCTGGAGGGGAGATATTCTTTTATCAAGGCGTAAAAATTTGATTTTTCGCGAAGATGAATATAGATCGTGATCATCCCCGTGTTATGTGTGCTCGTTCCTTTATAAATTACGATATTCGGTCCTTTCTCGTTTCGCCGATCCGTGTCGGCGGAAAGTTGGCGGAAATTCATTACGGAATTACACCCGCGGATTTCCCAAACGATGAGTTACTACGCTCCGCGGCTCTCCTTTAATCGGCCGGATAACATCGCGACGCGAATAATATTTCTAAATTTCCCCGTTTTAATGAGGATAGATCGGGGACCGGTTGAATTTAGAATCCGGGGGCTGGCGATTAAACTTCGTGAAACGCTCGAGAGAAAGAAAAAAAAAAACGTGCACGGCGAAAAAGCATGGGCTCGTAAAGAATCGAGTTTCGTTAAACGTTTGTCGCGTTAAGGCGAAGGGGAAGGGCAGGAGAATCAAGTTGTCGGCCAAAAATTAGCGCGGGGAAGGAGAAGGCGGAAAGTTTCCCGCGTGTAATCTCGCGCTGCGGTTTAATTTTCCGGAATTATGCACCCGCTGGAAATGCGCGCGTATCTGAAATCCTCATTTTCCACCGGCGATCCTTTTCGCCTTTTCGGCCGTAATAACGCGACGGGGAGAGCACTCGCGGTATTACCTTGTTTCATTAATTAATTTACACCAGGCGCAACACTGGATTACCGGGCTCACGAACGATTTTATTCTTCTCGAGTAGACCCCGTCTTAAAAGATATCGTAACACGGACAAGAGGGAAGGAAAAAAAGGTGTGCGTGTGTGTATACCGACCCTTACTTGCCCCCTTACTTACGGGAAGCGGTATAAAATTACGTACGAACTTGATGGGATCCCTTAAGTAGGACCATGACTCGCGGCGATGAGTCATAATTTTAATTGGAACGTAAATTTTTCTCTAATTTGATATCGAAATTGTTGTTCGCGTGGCAGAATGAAAAGTACGAAAGAGTTTTATTAAAATTGAATCGCGCTTCGCCGTGGAAATATATTTCGTATTTCGATGTTGGAAAATAAGTAGAAAATAAAGGAGACCGAGGGGCGAAAAAAATTCGAAAGGGATAGACGTGAATAATAATAATAAGAAGGAAGGTAGGGTGGGATTGAGGTTAGGAAGTTTTTGATGAAATACGTTTCTATGGATTCGATTCGTTCGCGCGAAAACGAGCGTTCGTCAAATATAGTAGCCAGTCAGTCAGATAATCACGAAGAAAATGTTCACAGACGGGGGCATTACTTTTTACGATTGTGACACCCCAGAGACGAGCCTCATCCACCAAGTATGCTCGCAGGTGCTCCATATTTCATACCCTGTTGCTTTCAACACGCGTTACGTTGCGGATATGTTAGTTCTTACGCTTTAAAATGAAAATATATGTTGCACGTGTTTCCACGACAACGATGAACAGAAAAATATATACGAGACACTTGTGCAACTTTCAACATATCCTTCTAACGCGGACTTGAACTCGAGTAACGATTTTTAAAGGGATGGAACGAGCGAACATGTACGAACATGTAGAACAATCGCATTTCACAATTTTATACGTATGCGTGAGCAACGAATATAAAAGCTGCAGAGAAACAATGGAAACATGTTCAAAGAAGGTTTATTAAATAATATTTCCTTTATTTTCAATATTAAGTATTTATTACATACAAGCATTTATACAATACGAAGTATTTTTAGACATGACTGATGATATTTAGCATTCTCAGTATTTGTATGTTTAGAAACATTTTGTTCGTATGTATTGGGATTATTATTATTGTTATTATTAATTATAGTTATTATTATTACGTGTCCTTATAGAATAGTTTTAGTTAGACCGAATAGAATAGTTTGAATAAATAAACTCGATAATATAAGTCATTGCGTCAAATTCTGTCTCGGAAAGCAACGACACAGTTTTATGGTTAAAAATAATCCGCGTGGATTATCGAGTTATGATACGTAAAACTGATTTGAATCCTCGTATCGATGTCGTTAACTACGCGCTTAAGAAGCTTAGGCGATTAAAGTGTCTTAGGATTGTAATGCTTCTGTACAGCAATGTGCTAAAATTTCTCGATAAAAATACATATATATTTTTTTTTTTTTTTTCGTTATCGTTAAAATATTACTTCTTAGGTTTTGCGTAAGAGAAATCATTTTGGGATACAAAACACTGCGGCATTACACACATACGCACACGCATATACATGTATATACATGTGTGTATGTGTGTGTGTGTATATATATGTATATATGTGCTCGACGTTCTTAAATTAAACAATTTTGAGGGGGGAGGAGGGAGAAAAAAAACCGGTAACAAGCATGCAGCGTGAAATTTCTTTTAAATCGATCGCAATAGAACGTATGCGGAAAGAATTCATAAGAGAACTCTTAATATTGTACGTAGCACAAACATGAAAAAGGTTTTAAAAAAAAAAAAAAAAAAAAAAAAAAGAAAAGTAAAGAAAGAGAAAACAAACGGTACATGGATTATTCGCATAAAATCGTGATATCCTTTTTCATGTCGATGACTTTTTTTCTTTTTTTATATTTCTTTCATCTCTGCTACTTGAAAACCAAGTTATTCGAATTTATACTTTATTATTATTATTATTATCCTTCGTATAACAACCTTGTATATGGGACAATATTATGCACTTGCAATTTTTGCAAGTGTTAAACACAAAGCATGCTAATTGATTTCATAATAGTATGCCACAATAGTAACAAATAAACTCATGTCATAGACACCAATTACAATGTTTGTTCAATAACATCAGGCTTTAAAATTATCATCTTCTATCTGTATACTAGAGTATGATACCACTAGAATGAATAGCCACTACGATAATGGATAACGCAACATGAGCTTGGAATTTTGTTCGCACAATTTTCACGAAATATTCGACGAATGTTCGAGCTCCTTGCTAAAAAATTTCTATCATAATTATGCTAATGTATTATCCTCTATTGAAACATTTTTACCGTAGATTTGTGTTTCATTTTCTATCGTAACTAGCAAAACATCATTTATAAACAAAGTAACGATACTATCGATTTCTTATTTTATAAACGTATGTGTGTGTGTGTGTGTGTGGCTATTTCACAATGCAATCGTCGTCTTCGTCATCGTCGTCGTCGTCATCATCATCATCATCATCATCATCATCATCATTATCATCATCATCACAGCTAGAAAATTTATGTTAGATTCGCGAAAACGTAACAGTAATGAAATCTAGTGGATACCTAAAGTACCAATATTAGGTGAGTTTTCTAATATAATAATAAAAAAAAAAAAAAAAAAAAANAA